GGGAGGGGGAGCACCCCTTGAAGACGGAGGAGAGGGGAGTGCCACTGGAGGCAGCTACAGCAAGGGTAGCAGACTCAGCCTCTAAGAGGCGTTTCTCAAATGAGTCTATGGTGACTTTGGTGGTGTCGAGAGAGAGGAAGTGATCACGAACAGCACGAAGCGTGTCAGGGAGGCGAGTCGTGAGAAAATAGAGGGTGAGATACATGGGGGGCTTGTTCTCAGCCAGAAAGTCGGCATCTAGAGCAGCACGATAGTGGGTGTCAAGAGAGTGCAGGTGCGTGATGAGTTTGGCTACAGTGGTGAAGTCGGCGAGCTCAGGAAAGAGGAACTGCAGCGCAAGGCGGCCTATCGTGGTAGAAGACGGGGAGGAATGGTGCTTGACTACAGCGTCGTAAAGTGCTTTGGCCATCTTAAGCAGGCAAAAATGAGTGCGCTGGTCGGGCGGAATGTGGTTACGGACAGCAAGGGCCGCAGTGGCGTCACGAGCGGTCCGCCGAGAACGAACTTTCTGGTTTGCAGACTCAGTAGGGGTAGTGAGGGACCCGGAGGTATGCTCAAACAGTGAGACATCCTCTCTAGTGACGCTCTTAAGGTACCACTCCAAGTCCTCGAGCCAGTTCTCAAAATCAATCGAGTGCCCCTCGGCGTCAAGGGTGAGCAAAGTAGGAGTAGACATAGCAGCAGTAGTGGCAGTGGCAGTGGCAGCAGGGCTCAGCAGCAGCAGCAGGGCAGTGCTGCTAAGTAAGGGCAGAGCAGCGCGGCTTGGGCAGGGCAGCGCGGCTCGGGCAGAGCGGTGCGGCTCGACAGGGCGGCGTGGCTCGGGCAAGGCACAGCTCAGTAGCGCGTGCTGTAGCAGCAGTGGCAGCAACATGCTGAGCAGCAGTAGCAGCACTTAGCAACAGCAGCAGAGCTTAGCAGCAGCAGCAGCAGCAGCAGTGCATGCAGCAGTAGCAGCTGCAGAAGTGACAGCAACAGCAGCGCGGACAGGCAGGGAGCAGGCAGGGTGCACGTGGGGTGCGCGAGGGCAGGGCGCAGGCCGGGCGCAGGCTGCTGGCGAGCAGTGCGTTTGCTGGGCAGGGCAGCGCGTGGGTGGGCAAAGCGCACTGGCGGGGCCGGCAAAGCGCGTGCGGGCAGCACGCGGGTGGACAGCAGGGTGCGTGTGCAGAGCGCGCGGGTAGGCAGGGCAGCGTAGGTGCAGACAGAACGCGTGCGGGCAGGGCGATGCTCAGGCAGGGCAGCAGGGCGCACGCGCAGGTAGGGCAGCAAGGGCGCGCAGCAGCAGGGCAGATGGACGCGCGTGGGCAGGGCAGTAAGGCGCAAGCTGGCGCTAGGCAGTAGGACTGGCAAAAAATAAATTCAAGTACGGGCAGGGCGGAACGTTCGGTGGGCCCTAAGGAATGTATCTACTCTAATGCCATGTTAGAATGTGGAAACAGGAATGTCGAGATTAGCAAGGAAGGGGAGCACAAGAAGGAAACCTAGAAGGGTTGTACCCCCTATAGCTAGCATCACTATAGCCTATCAGAATAACATACACATACACATACACATGTATTCGATACAGCGCAGACGCCACGCCGACCACGTGCCCACGTCTGCACCTGATCCTCCACGTCAACCTCGCCATACCACACCGAGGTCGGCTTCACCAAGAACACCTGGGCGACCGTCGCGCACCTTCGCAATACTCCGTTACCCGTGTAACTTGGTCAACCGGGCAACCAGGACACCCATGTCGGCGTACAGACGCCCAAGCCGGCGTCCAGGCGCCCAGGCTGGCGTCCAAGACGCCCAGGTTGGTGTCCAGACGCCCAGGCCAGCGTCCAGAACACCCAGGTCCGTGTCCAAACGTCCAAAACGCCGTCCAGGCGCCCAGGGCGGCGTCCAAGTGCCTAGGACGCCGTCCAGACGCCCAGGCCGGCGTCCAGGCGCCCCGGACGGTGTCTCCCAGTATAGTAGGTCGGTTGCGCTCCCCGCACACCCGACAACAAAGTCGGCTCCCCCTAAGCGAGGATGGGGCCAACACACAACTCCCGTTGACACACTAAAAAAAGGCCTTTGATTTTATCTCGCGCGGATATCTCTTCCTTACGTTACGGTCGATGGGGTTCTCGGACCGATTCGTAAGCTCGGTGGAAGGCCTACGCAAGGGGATGCTGACAAGACTTTTAGTAAACGGCTGGATGGGAGTTGGTGTGGAGGTGGTGTCCGGGGTCAGACAAGGCTGCCCTCTTACTCCATACCTCATTCTATGTGCAGTCGAGCCGCTGGCGTAGACGGTTACGAAAGATGGGAATCAGCAAGGTGGGGGAGCGGCTAGCGTATATCGGGTACGAATGAGACACCACTCTGGTCCTGGAGGGAAAAAAACAGATTGTCGGATCTGCTTGCAAAATTCGAGTTGACGTCCGGGCTGGCGACGAACCGAGACAAGTTGGTTATCTTTCCACTAGGGAATAACCTAGGCAGGACAACCGGTCGGACGCACAACTTCAGGTGGGCAAAAGGAGATGAAGCGGAAAGCCTACTCGGGGTATGGGTGACTCCTTCAAGAAGTTGCCGGCCAACATGGGAAGAAACTGCGAACGATATAATGAGGAAGGTTAAGAAGTGGCAGCATAAATACCTCTTGATAGCGGCAAGAACAGCGGTGGTTAACATCTACACTATGCCAAAAGCGTCGTTCCAGGCGCAGGTTTACCCACCCCTGGCAGGAATATGAGGCACGATTTCCAATACCTTTCACCACTTTGTATCTGGGAGCAGGGCAACGGAAGACAGGGGCTTCATGCTATGGAGCAGGGAACTATTACATACGCTAAGGGAGTTAGGTGGTGTGGGAGTGCAGGCATCAAACTTGGCTGGCTCCCATCGGATATGTCGCTCTGCTGGGCGCAACCTCATAGACATCCACATATTTGAGAACGGGGGGATTGCGCCACTGAAGCGATTGAAACTGTTGTGGAAGGAGGGGCAAAAACCATCTGCGAAGCAGCTGAAGTGGAAATGCAGGTGGAACGGGCACATCAACTGGAAGATTACCATTGCCATTCGCGATTCCTTACCTACACCGAGCAAGCGGAGGGACGTTTCGCTCCAAATACACAACTTAAACCTGCAAGTGGGCGAGCGGATGTCGTTTCTGAGCAGCAAGCCGGTCTGCCTGCATTGTGGAGGCTGTGAAACCCTCAAATACTCACTGCCTCTACAGTTGTCCGAAGGTTCAAGTGGTGACTTCGGCGCTCAAGAAAACCCTCCGCATGCTCAATGCTTCGCGTGCGATGTTCTCTCTGGGGGACCTGTTGTTCCGGAGAGCACAACATTCCCGGAGGCCACGATTACGTCCACCACACTTCATCAGCTTTGGTTGGAGCGTTGTGATGCTTTCTTAAGGGGTAAGAATTCCGGGCGAGGCGGGTGCTCCAGCGGATCAAAAGTGCTTTCCGGCTGCATGCAAGGATCTACACAAGGACGAGGGAAGCAGAGTGGAGAAAGCGCAAGGGCATGGGGCAGGAGGAGAAAATTTGCTGCATGGTGGAGGAAGAGAACAAGTTACTGTTTCGAATCAAGGACAAGAAGAGCAAGTCTCGGACGTGGACGAATGCCTTCACATTTGTTTGGCTCTCCCCGAGGATGAACCACCGATCTCCTTATATTCCGCACCTGGGGCAGCCACGTGGCCGCCCCTCATGCACAGTCATGACTGTTATTGTTTATATATGCTCGATATATCGATGTACATATCAATTACCAAAAAAAAAATAACAATGAGCAAAGGCATCAGCAACTTGTTAAAGCCCGAGTACATGATGTCTATTTCCAAGTTCATGATTCGTGAACTTGAAAATGCCAAACACAGGGTTATCTACTTAGGTTTGAAAACCCCTCTATATCCTTGGGCCTTGTTCGATAGGCAGGCAAGTCTGACTGCGGATTGGTATAGGCAGCTTCCTGAGGCCAAATGTGAGCACGTTAAAGCCACTAAAACCGTTACATGCACACCAAACCTAGTCAGTACGACTTGGCTACCGAACGATTAATTTTACAACTCGTACTGGGTGCAATTCAGATGAGGAAGCTGTGGATGACATTTCCTCCCTATGTAGATCTATGAGGATTGACGAACTGGTTCAGAATGAATTGATTGATCACATGGGTACAACACGAAGGTATATAAAGTCTTGACACAAGGCAAGGTAACCAGGTGTTACGTGAAGGTTACGAGGGTTGCAAAGCGTCCCGAATGCATCCTTTCCGAATTTGGTAGAAGCCGTTCGGTGGAAACCGATTAGCACTGAATTCGGTGCACGCAATTCTAGCACTATAACATATATATAATAAAGCACCTAACCTAGGAGATCAAGCAAACCATGCAAGATAAAAAAAACCCAAGCTAGATAAATCATAATAAAGTAAAGACAAGTACTCAAAGCCTAGCAAAGGCCGTCGTACTCTTCCACGTCCCCCCCCTCAAAGATGGGTGGCGTGAGAAACACCTTGCTTGACAAGATAATCCGTGAGAGCATGGCGCGCGTTGCCCATATCAGCTTCTACAACCCAACTGTCCTCCGATGGGTCAGAGCCCTTCCAGAGTATCATGAACTCGAACGTGGTACTGCGTTGGCGTTGATGAGTGAGAACTTGTTCCACCTCGTACTCTGGTTCATCTTGTACGAAAAAAGGTGGTGGTGGCGGTAGCTTCCGTCCCGTGAATTGCTGGTTGGGGTCCTTGTAGGGCTTTAGTGGATGAACGTGGAAAGCGTTGTGAAGCTTCCACATGGTAGGTAAGCGCATGAGGAATGTTACTGGAGTCACTTTCTCCTCAACGCGAAAGAAACCACAGAAGCGAGGCCGGAGTTTGGACGAAAGGTGAGACAATTCCAACTTGCGTGTGCGAGCTGGACAAGTACCACTTCGTCGCCTTGTCGCTAGGGCTGCTCGCTATTGTCAGGATCATCGCGGCGTACGCAGGTCAGACCGCTGCTGCTCATGCGTTGCATATGCTGCTTCCGATGCGTGGCATTGTCTCGACGCCACTCCGTTCCTTGTGCGCGCCGCCGCGCGTCTCCATCCTCCACTCCTCCGCATCCAAGCGTGGCTCGGTCGGTCATGGGCCCATTTGCAATGTCGCGCGGATTGCCCCACCCCCACCTCCTCCCCCTTCTCCCCTACTCCTTCTCCCCTCCTCCCCACGGAATCCTCCAGCGGAGCCGCTGCTGTTGCAGGTGTTCACCTGCGGGGCGATGCGCCACTCGCCACCTAGCACAAAGGAGCGAGCGGAGGCGGCACTGGCGGAGGCAGCGTTCAAGCAGATGGACAAGGGCGGCCGCGGCAAGCTGTCCAAGCGGGATTTGCTGCCCGTGCTCGCCACCCTCGTAATATCAGTAAAAACGTAGGTGATTTGTAGTTTTGTATCGTCACTCAGTCCTTCCCCCCGTCCGCTTCCCTCCTTCCCTCCCTCTCCCTCTCAACCCGCCCGCCCATTCCCCTGCCTTCCTACCACCTGACTGCTCCCATTGGCATGATCTCGCACTGCTCCCATCACCTCGCACTGCCCCCATCACCTCGCACTGCTCCCATCACCTCGCACTGCTCCCATCACCTCGCACCTGCCAGTGGCGGAGGCGACGCTGGCGGTGCTGCTGGAGAAGTACGCGACGGGAGTGGAGGAGATGGGGCGCGAGCAGTTCAACGAGCTCTTCGTGCAGCTGGTGACAGGCACGTCGGATTTACTCCACTCAAGGGAGCAGCCTGCTTTTGCGCAGGAGGTGTCGATCGCACCCAGGGCGTGCAGCCTTAGAAAGGTTGCTCTCACGCACACGCAAATCCCCTCTCCCCCCTCCCCCCCCCCCCCCCCCCCCCCCCCCACCGAATTCTCCGCACTCACATGATGCTTCCCGCAGGGCTCCTCGTATGCCTTCCTCGCCAGTTCCGCCGTTCCCCAGTTCCCCCTCACTCCCACCCCCATTGCCCGCCCCTACTCCTTGCCGCACGTGCTTTCTCACCCATCTCCAGGTCCTCGCGAGCAAAGAGCGTCTCTAGGAGATGGCCAGCAAGACCTTTGCTGACTTGGACACCAGCAACGCCGGCCAGCTGTCAGGCACTGACCTCATGAGCGGGCTGCGGCAGTGGCTCATGGTGTGGCTGACGCGCGGCAGGTGGACTCGCTGCTCTCCTACCACTTCACCGCAGCCGATGTTGACAACAGCGACTCCGTGGACCGCGGCAAGTTATCCACGCGCTGCTGACGTCCCTTGTAGAGCAGCTGCAGCAGACCCCCTTGGTGCTCAAGGTGGCTGTGCTCAAGGATCTGCCAGTGGGCGGCAATGTTAGAGGGTCCTAGGACAACAAGGGCATCCGCGGAGTTGACTCGGTGGAGTGACAACGACCTAGCATCGGTGGTGCGTGATTACTAGCAGCAACAACAGATTCGGTGCTAGGGGTGAAGAGTCATGCGGTGCTGCCTTATGAGGCACGCCTCTCCCTAGCTGTGTTGGGTGGAGTGGGGTGCACAGTAGTTTAGGAATTCGGCGGGGTACACCCGCAGCAGCGCCACACAACCATCCTCTGCTACCGATCAGGGCCCTCGTTATCAGACCAATTTGATATGATCGTCTAGATTTCATACTTTTGTCATATGATTTCTGTCAAAATGTTGTAGTCTTAGTGATGTGTGTTACAGGGGGTACAACTAATAGGGTTAGGTTTATGTACCCCAACCAACCTTAGTGAAACTAACAATTTCATTCTTGACATGGTATCACCTAGGTTAGGATCCTGTAGGATCCCGTTCCTCTCGTCCACGTCCGTAGCGCTTGAGCCTGTCCCGTACCCTAGTGCCCCTTACGCCCATACTGTCCCCTAGCGCCTCTCGTGCCCGTCTCTCTCGTGCCCTAGTGCCCACTGTGCCTGCCGTCGCGTCGCCCCTTCTGTCCCGTCCCGTCCCGTCGCCCCTGCTGTCCCGTCACCCCTGCTGTCCCATCCCGCCGCCCCTGCTGTCGCGTCGCCCTTGCTGTCGCGTCCTGTCCCGTTGCCCCCGCTGTCCCATCGTGTCGCCCCCTGTTGTCCAGTCCCGTCCCGTCGCCCCTGCTTTCCCGTCGCGTCGCCCCCCTTCTGTCCCGCCGCGTCGCGCCGTCCATCTTGTCCCGCCCCGTCCGCGTCGCGCTTCCCGTCCTCTCCCGTCACACGCGCCCCGTGTGCCCTGCCCATCCGTCACGCCCCCACTGCGCCCTGCCTGTCCGTCGCGAGCTGTGCGCCTTGCCCGTCCGTCGTGCCCCCGCTGCGCCCTGCCCGTCCGTTGCGCCCCGTGCGCCTTGCCCGTCCGCGCGTGTCGCGCCCGTCCCTGCCAGTCGCGTCCGTGCTGTCGCGTCGCATTGTCTCTCACGCCCTACGCAAGCCCTTTAGGCGTTTAGGGTTTCGGCAGCAGAAGTATCCACCTCTACGCTTCCGCTATGGCGACCCCTAGGGTCTTGTGCTTTGACGCTGAGGGTAGGCTGCTCGAGTTCTCGGTCTAGCTCCTGCGTGTGCGCCGCCTCTTAGAGAGCCAGGTTCAGTCACACGAGACTCTGTGGGCGCACGCTTCCAGTGACCTACCTGAGCCCGCTGACCCTGCACCCTTAGCAGTTGATCCCACACCTACAGACAGTGACCGTTATGCACGCTAGCGTGCTGACGTGACAGCATGGAAGTTGCGTGACGCTGCGGCCTGCATCGCCCTCAGCAGCCTCCTCCCTGAGTCTGAGGAGACCCACTTCACTCAGGTCGTACGGCTAGTGAGTTCCTGACTGCGATCAAGGCTCGCTACACTACTCCCACCACTCTCTCTCTTGGTCGCCTGTTCCTTCCGTTCCTGTTTCCTGACCTCGCCTCGTTTGAGCGCACTGCTGACTTGATTACTCATCTGCGCTCGCTCGATTCTAGCAACCGCGCTGCTTGCACTGACGCACAGCTTGCACTGCTCCCTCCCCCTATGGCGATTACTATTTATTTCATTGCCACTAGCCTCCTTGACCGCCTTGCCTCGGTTCGTGTCGCGCGTCTTCTGAAACACCCTAGCGAGCTCACTATCGAGGTCCTTGAGTTGGCCCTCAAGGACGTCGAAAGCAACCTCCGCTCGGTAGCCTCTGCCTCTGGTGTTGTGCCCCCTCCACTGTTCCACATGTGCACTGTCCCTCAGCTGCCCACCTTTAATGCCTCCCTCGCCACTGCCGCTACTGACGTGACCGCAGCTGCTGTTATGACTTCTTCGCGGTCTCGGGGTAGGAGTGGCATGAGGGGCGGTCAGGGTGCAGGCGGAGGCGGCGGAGGCGGTGGGGGTGACGTGGCCAGCGGCGGCGGCGAGAGTGCAGGCGCTGGAGGAGTGCCTCGTGCAGCAGCCAGTGACTCCCCTGCTGCAGCTGGTGGAGGTGACGCCCGGGTTCGTCAGCCACCTACTGGTCTGCCAGCCGTAGGGGGTGGAGCAGCGGCGTGGTACCTGACTCGACGACAGCAGCAGCAGCAGCCCCTCCCCTCGCAGCAGCCACAGCAGCAGCAGCATCAGCAGCAGGTTTCAGGGCAGAGGTCAGGACAGCGTCAGCTGCAGCGCGGTGTCGTCCACCCTCCCTGCACCTATCACGTTCTGACAGGTGCCCATTGCAGCCAGCCTTGTAGCCGCAGCCACTCACCGGGTCAGTGCTTTGCTCAGCTTACTGACACGGTTCGATTGGCCTACGGCGTTGACGGCCCTACCCCTGACTGGCTTCCCCTTGTTCAGACGTACAGCCCCGCTCTGTGGGGCATGTTGGCTTCTCAGCTGGTTGATCTCTTAGGAACTCCTCATGCTATGTATGATGTTGTTGACTTCAGTGTTTCTCACTCTGTTTACTCGAGTGTTGTTAGCGTAGGTGCTAGTCTTGCTGAGGTGCCTGTTGCTAGTGCAGGTACTTGTGTAGACACTAAGGAGCTGCTCCGAAGGACGCTTCGCTGTCTTTCACTCTGGACTCCGGAGCTTCCCACTGTTTCTTCCGCGACCACACGACACTTACCCCGCTTCCTACGCCGGTCTCTGTAGCACTGGCTGATCCCACTTCGGGACCAGTCACTGTTTGCTACACTACTACGCTTCCGTGCCCGGCTGTTCCCTCCGGTTCTCTCACCGGCTTCCACGTCCCCTCATTCTCGAAGAACTTGGTGGGCGTGAGGCCGCTCGTGAGTCAGCACGTGGGTGTGTGGATTGAGCCTTCTGGCGAGACTGCGGCTTGTGTCGACGGGGACACGTACACGCCTCTCGCCACCTTTACCGCTGAGCCAAGCTCTGGTCTCTACACACTTCACACTGGCCCCCGAGGGCAGCAACAGCAGCAGCAGCAGCAGTAGCAACGGCAGCAGCAGCAACAGTAGCAGCAGCAGCAGCTACTGCCCCCGACCCCTGTCACTGTCCCCCGTCAGGTTCCCGCATCTCACCAGGTTGCCGCGTCTCCCCAGGTAGATGTGTCTGGTCAGGTTCCAATTATTGGTCCAGTTGCTGCGTCGTGCTCTTGCCGGTCGCTTGCCCACCCCACTGTTTTGTGGCACCACCGGATGGGGCACCTGTCCATTTCTTGCGTGCACGCTATGTCTAGTCAGCATCTTGTCTTAGGCCTCCCGCGTGTCTTGCCGTCGTTGCCGCCTTCGCTTGCGCCACCCTGAGGTCCCTGCGTCGAGGGTCGGCTGCGCGCCACCCCTCACTCCTCCTCCCTTCAAGGGCATCCGCGACCCCTAAGTGGACTCTAGACTAAGACATAGTCTTCGGGGAGCTGGTGTTAGTAGAGCTATCCCTGGGGGTGCTACGCCTGGGGGTGCACCTTCCGCTGGACCTGGAGAGCCTGGGACGGACCCTGTTACTTCTGGTGGTGCTGGCTCTGGGGGTGGTGCGACTGATTCTTTGGAGAGCGGTCTTGGGGCTACCACCGCTCCGTACACTACTCCTCCCTCCCACCCCTACCCGACCCGGCACCAGGCCCGTGTTTGCCGTGCCCGTGAGGAGCAGCTGGAGTTGGAGCGAGAGGAGAGAGAGTTGGAGCGGCAGCAGCTGGAGCTATAGTGGCTGGAGGAGCAGCAGCAGCAGCAGCCGGAGCGGGAGCAGCCGCAGCAGCAGCTGCAGCAGCAGCAGCTACCTCCTCCTCCTGTCTCTGGTCTTCGGACCCTTGGTCTCCCTTCTCCTTCTTCTCCCTCCCCCCCCTCTCCTCCCGTCTCTGGTCCTCCGCTTCCTTCTCCTGACGCCTCCCCATCTGTTTTCCCTCCTCCTCTGCCCCCGTTGTCCCCTCCTCTTTCTCACTCTTGGCCTTCGCGTCGCTCTCCTCGTGCTCGTCCCTCGTCCCCTGTTCCCTTCACTGACCTTCGTACTGCCCTGTTTCGTTCTAGTCTGCCTCGTTCGTATCCTTCTGTACTTCCTTCTCCTCTTGAGTTGGCTCTCACTGCTTCCCTCTCTACTCCTGACACAGACTACTACAGCACGTACCATCTTGTTCTCTCTCGTGTTCTCGCCTCTCTTGTTACCGACCCACGTGTTTCTCTGTCCTCTGTCTCCGCTCTTACTGCCGCAGTCACTGAGTTTGCCTCTACTCGCTGCCTTGATTACGCCACCAGTCTTGTGGCTGCTCCTCCTACCAGTCCTATGGCCGCCGGGGGTGGGTCTGCCTCTGGCTGTGACACCCTTTAGGACAGGCAGTTTGAGGTGGAGTTCCTGGCAGCCACTTACCCTGATCTCTATGCCATGTTGCTCGCCCCTGAGGGAGACCCCGACGCCCTTGACATACCGACTCCTCGCACTTATGCTGAGACAGTGTCAGGGCCTTGGGCCTCTTAGTGGAGAGCTGCCATGGACTCAGAGATGGCCTCCTACAGATCCACAGGCACCTATGTTGACGAGGTTCCCCCCCCCTGGGGCGAACGTAGTCGATGGCATGTGGATCTTCAGGGTGAAGCAGCCACCGGGATCTCCTCCGGTCTTCAAGGCGCGCTATGTGGCCAGAGGTTTCAGTCAGCGCGAGGGAGTTGACTTCTTTCAGACTTTTGCGCCTACCCCGAAGATGACCACTCTTCCGGTGTTATTGCACGTAGCAGCACAGAGAGACTACGAGTTACACTCTCTTGACTTCTCCACTGCTTTCCTTCAGGGTAGCCTACACAAGGAGGTCTGGTTGCGTTGTCCCTCTGCCTTCACTGGCACTTTCCCTCCTGAGACCAAGTGGAGGCTTAGGCGACCGGTCTACGGTCTCTGTCAGGCTCCTCGTGAATGGCACGGCACCCTTTTCTCTACCCTTTCTGACCTTAGTTTCCAACCTTCTTCTGCCGACCCGTCGCTGTTCGTTCGTCGTGGCTCCACACCGTTCTTTTTACTGGTCTACGTTGAAGACCTGGTTTTCGCCACTGCTGACGTGAAGCTCGAACTGCAAAAGAGACACACTTGCACTGACCTTGGTCTGCAGATCACCAGAGACAGAGCTGCTCGCACCATTACACTCTCACATTCACACATGGTGCAGCAGGTCCTTCAGCGGTTCGAGCTTCAGCACTCTACTGTACAGCACTTACCTCTTGCCGTTGACCACAGACTCACCGGACCCTTTCCTGACGAGCCGTTCGAACCTAGTGGTCCTTACGCAAAGCTTGTGGGCTGCCTCATGTACCTGATGACTTGTACTCGCCCGGACCTCGCCTTCCCTCTCAGCATCCTTGCTCACTTTGTTGCGCCAGGGAGACATCGTCCAGTTCACTGGACAGCTGCTGTGAGGGTGGCGAAGTACCTAGCGACGACATCAGGCGTGGGGCTGGTTCTTGGAGGGAGATAGTACGTCGTGCTTACTGGTCATTGTGACTCTTCTTATGCTGACGACGCCGAGACGCACAGGTCTACTCAGGGGTACTGTTTCAGCCTCGGCTCTGGAGCTATTTCGTGGAGGTCCACACGTTCCTCCTCGGTCTCGACCTCTACTGCTGAGGCCAAGATCTACGCTGGAGCTATGGCTGCACAGGAGCTGCGCTGGCTGACGTTCTTGCTCATTGACCTTGGTGAGCGGTCGAGCTCAGTGCCGACCTTGTTCACTGATAACAAGGTGACGATTCTCCTCTGTTGAGAGCCGCGACTGGAGTGCAGAATGAAGCACATTAACGTTGGGTACTTTCTTCTGCGAGAGTTGCAGAGGCATGGACAAGCTCGTTTTGCAAAGGCAAGGCCCTTCCGCCTTGTGACCACCAGAGGTGTTGTGTGTAGTTAGGTCTCGTTGACACAGGTTCTTGCCTTGCATAGTCTTGAGTTCTCTCCTTGCTTTGTTTGTACACTTTACAAATACCTGTGTGAACTCTTGAACTAGCCTTGTGGCTCTTTTGCTTGTGCTCGGAGTATGTGGCGACGTTGTGATCCACCCTGAGCTTTGTTTCTTTGTGACTGGTCTTGTGAGCGTACACTTTTGGTTTTGCTTGACACCCCTCACTTAGACTACGGGG